GTGTGTGTGTGTGTGTGTGACTTTGCTTTGAGATGATGGGGATTAAAACTCATCCAGTGAGGAAGAGGAGGGTGCTGTATAGAATTTGTCTCTACAGCATCTCAAAGTTCAATTTTTGTTCCACCAGCTGCAACATTTTTTCATCGGAACTCTTTTTTTTTTCTCTCCAGTTTTATTAATTTTTAGGAAAAACAGCTGCGTCTCCACCCCTCCCTTCGCTCTGACTTTACGGGCGTCCTTGTCTTCAGGAGGTTGCACTTAACATTCTGGTGTAACGGAGACTGGTGTGTGTGTGTGTGTGGGGGTGTGTGTGTGTGTGTGTGTGTGTGTGTGTGTGTGTGTGGGGGGGGGTTTGATACTCGAGGACAGGAAGGGAAATGGAGATGGGCAGTGGGGGGGTGGGATTGCATAACCGGAGGAGTGATACAGGCACCAAGTTCAGTTCGACACCGGATCCATCTTTGCAGCAGCAGGGCCGTAGCCGGGGTTTTCACCACAGAGGGGTCATGGACTGAGGCACCCGCCCACCCCTCCTTCCTCTTTTGACCCCTCCCTCCCACTCAGATTATCTTGAACCGAAAAAGTCCCCTCGGCTTGAAAACAGTCCCTGAGTGTGTGGCTGCGTGGATTGTACCACCGTGGGATTTGTCTGGGGGGGGGCCGAAGCTTTAGGATAGCAGCATGCCATGTCCCTTTTTTTTCCCTTTTTACTTTAATTTTTTCCTTTTTGGGCTAACTTCAGTGGTCCGCCCACTCCCTGCTGCATCCCACACCGCTCTGTCATCCAAACGCCTCGAAAGGAGCTTACAGACGACACGGTTTGACGCGATGAAGCTGAGGCTATATCTGGTCTCGTTTTGTCTCGACACAAACTGACTTCAACATGCTGACTCAGCAACTAAGCAGCAACATTTTTATTTTGGCAAAACATTCCTCCTGTTACCCCCCCCCCCCCCCCAAAAAAAAAAAAATCTGACATCCCACAGGTACAGGTACCTATTCCTAGAAGAAATGCATGTCAGCCTTGATCAAACCTTCACACCAGTTTTTGTGCAGTCTCATGTAACATGGCAGGACCGCTCTCGGATACCACTCAGAGTTTTAGCTCAATATTTGTAAAACTTGCTGAGTTTTTGGCTTCTTTCTGCAAGCTGTGGCGACCACCAATAGACGAACATCCAGTATTGGTTTCTGGAAGTGTCATTATTTTTGCTGACGCAGACATATGGACAAACAGACATGGCAAAAGCATCATCACTTTTCAGCATGGGGGGGTGGGCGGGGTTGGGTATTAAAAAAACCAGCCAGGGCCAGACAAGCACACATGCAGACCATTAAAGGTCTCACATGGGACCAGAGTTTTTCTTGGGACTGGTCATGAATTATGTATTCTCCTTCTATTTTGCTAAAACGCTGCTTCAGTTTCAATTATTAAACGAGTCAAAGATGTAAAAATACCAGACAGCTGTTTCATAAACTGTTGGTCCTGCAGAGAAGTTCACCATGATTTTTTTTTTCTGAGAAGATGGGAGACACTGTCCAAGTCCTCCACTTGTCTTCCACTCTGATTTGAGGAAGGGAGGARGAGGAGGAGGAGGGTGGAGGAGTGGTGCTCGAGCGCAAAGGGGGCAGGACTTTTTCTCTCCGGGTCCTATTAAGCGCAAACTTTGTGTTTTTGTTCTCCAAGTTCAGCTCAGTCCTCTCTCCGAGCCTGTGCGCTCACGGTTCCTCCTCCTCTGCTCCCCTCGATGGTCTCGGCTCTGCTGGCCGCCGCTGTTCTGCGCCAGGGATCTGGACCCGGAGAGGAGAGGATGCGCCTTCTGGGGGGACAGACGCCTGAAGTTGTGTGTTCGGCCGGCGCGCGGCTRCGTTTCGGGTCGGAGTGAAGAAGAACCGCTGCGGCTCCTCGGCGCTCTGACCCCGCAGGGAGCATCATGCTCTGGCTCCTGCTGCTGCTGGAGGTTGGAGCCCGGCGGGTGTCCACCTTCCAGGGATTCTTTCTGCCACCTGCGAGCGGCTCTCTGCTCTCACCCGCTCGGAGGACGGACGGGGTGGTCCGGACCATAGACCGGATTTACAACGGCGGGGGGAAGGTGGGCTACCTGGTGTACCTGGATGGGAGGCGCTTTCAGCTGGACATGGAGCGGGATGAGTCGGTGCTCTCGCATCATCTCGGCCCCCAGTACGCGCTCGCGGTGATGGGACAGAGTCCTGCGCAGCGGGAGTGCGCGTACCGGGGCACCGTGGACTCGAACCCGGAGTCTCTAGCGGTCCTGARCCTGTGCGGAGGCGGTCTGGAGGGCTTCTTCGCCGTCAACCACTCGCGCTACACCATCACTCCGATCATCAGGGCCAAGGGGCACGAGCACGACGCGCGCGCCCTGCACGACAAGGACGCGGAGAGCGCGCTGCACGCGTTCACGCGCGAAAGCTTCAGCTTCGAGGCCCTGAGCGAGGGGCGCGAGAGCTGCGGCACGCGCGACGGCCGCCGAGGACGCAGGGATGCCGGGCGGCGCGGCAAGGCGAGACGGSACGAGCACGGCGCGCGCGGGAGGAGGCGGTGGAGCCGCCTCGCCGAAGCGGCCGCGGCGCGCAACAAGAGGTCCGTGTCGCGCGCCAGGCACGTGGAGCTGCTCCTGGTGGCGGACGAGACCATGGTCAAGAAGTACGGACGGGACCTGAGCCACTACCTGCTGACRCTGGCCTCGATCGCCTCCAAGCTGTACGGGCACGCGAGCATCGAGAACCCCATCCGGCTGAACGTGGTGAAGGTGGTGACGCTCACCGGGGGGGAGAAGGGTCTGGAGGTGTCCAAGAACGCGGCGGCCACGCTGAAGAGCTTCTGCAAGTGGCAGAACCAGCAGAACCCGCTGGACGACGACCACCAGCACCACCACGACGCCGCCATCCTCTTCACCAGGCAGGTAAACAACAAAAAGCCCACCTGTCAGCTGCTCACGTGCGCGCAGCTGCGATGACGTCAGTTTGTTTTCACTCTCAACTCCATTAACAAAAACTCCTTTAACGAGTTTGAAACTAAAATAACTTTATGTTAAAAGGTGATTGAGTTAAAATAACAATATCTCGCACATTATCGCGAGATCTCGTGCTCAGGGATCACTCTCCTCTACTACCATCCAGGCCAAGTTTGAGCTCCCCATTTGAAACTTTGTATCATTTTTTGGTGGATTTTTATGTTTTTAAAGTCAGATTGTTGTGGCTGCCATCTTGATCGATTAAATGATAGTCTGTTCATTTTGAAGTGATTCAGTTATCAAATAACATCAATGACATAAAGTAAGAAAAAGCAAAAGTCCAGAACAATCAATGCTATCTTTTCATGTTTTTCATCATAAAAAGCTTTAAAACAACATGCAAGATGTGTYAAAGAATGCAACATAAAGCCTCTACACCTTTGCATGACACCGTTTGTTTGGTTTGTAGCTCGAGTCGACCAAACAACGTCCGGTGTGGACGGTGAATTAGCTGACGTGATCTAATTGCTTCCCATGTTTGCACTTCAGAGGCATAAACTCCTTCCTACCCGTACATCACAGGCAGTGTCAAAGAAACAAGCAGTAAAAAAAAAAAAAACAGTATTTCCTGCGCCTGGTGTTTTTTCTGGGCAGCCTCCCATGTCTCCATCCTTTCTCCCACCCCTCCCAGTCCCCTGACAGCCTCGCGGTGTGTGTGAGTTCCAAGGCGCGCACTCGCCTTCAAACACACACATTCTTCTCWGGGAATGAGATAAGGAATCAGCTGCTAACTGCGATTGCAGAAATACCCACCACCACTACCATCACTCCCCCCCAAAAAAGAACCCATTGACACCAGAGTTTAATTAGTCTGCTTCTCCCCTCCCTGAATTCTTCCTCTCATCACTGCGAGTCTTGTCAGCTGAGGGGAGCTCTCCTCTCCGTTAGCCTGAAAAAGCCATCAGGAAAACAAACACACGTCCGCCTCGTTCTGAGCCCTGCGATTACCAGGACCACACTCGTCTATCCCTTTCTTTCGTCTCCGCTCCCCCCCACCCTCTAAAGTCCAAAGCCGCAGGGCAGCAGCAGATGTACGCGCTTTCTTCACCTCTCCGGGCGTGGCTTCACGGCGGTTAGCTCCGGTTGACGTCTGACAGCTTCGCCTTGGACTGCGGTTGTGTTCGAGTCATGCAAGGTTCTTGTCGTGGCTCACACAAATCGGGTTGCATCGACCCTCCCTCCCCTGCACTCGTGCGTAGTTGGCGAGGCAGCAGGCTGAGCATACCTGAGGTCAGTTTCTGCAGCTGGAAACCCTCGTGGACCCTTACTAACCCCCTAGAGGGAGGTTACTAAAAAAGCCAAACCAGAGAGAAGTGGAATGGTTGGGTGTTTAGATTTGGCAAGGCTGGGCAGGGTCAAGCGGACATGGAGACATTAATCCAGATGCTCAGAGAAAGAATGGACAGGAAGTGGGGCCGTAATTTCTCTCCTTACTGCTGCRGCTTTGACATGACCAAACCAGTCTGCCTCATCAMTGGTCTGCACGGAGAGTATTCCTATAGCATTAGCAAAATACCTCATGAACCAACGCACAGATTTAAATTAAACACTCAACTCTGTCCCTTCTGCTGCTCGTCACGATGATCTCAGTAGAAAACCATGGTGTCTACTCTCCATGTCCTCTGACTGCATCCATTTATCTCCTCTTTGACTTGTTCCTGGCAGCTGCATTTCTAACATCCTTCTACCACTGTCCCTCCTCTGGACACATCCAAACCATCTCAGTCTGACCTCTAACTTTATCTCCCACCTCACACTCCTTCAAAAAAATGTCAGGCCGTTAAGGAAAGCTCGATTATATGTCGCTCACCTGTGAAAATGCGTGTAATATTCRTTCATAAAGAGCCTCTTAAACCTACCAAAACATTTATCTGCCGTCGCCTCTAATCCCAGGCAGGCCTCTGGGAAAACACTACAAGTTGCCTTGTTGATCCTTATCCAGCAGGRAAAAAAAARGAAAGAAAATCTCCTAATTGCTTTTAAATCTGGCCAAACGTGTAGAATAAGCACTTAGCACTCTGCTTCTCAGGTCGTGATCTCAACCTTTGAACTCTTCGGCTATTAGAGGCCATCACGGCACGGGGATTATATTTGGTTTACTCTGGAAGCGAGACGAGCCGTCTACCTGTCAAAACACACACCGATCAGATCTCCGAGAGAGGAATTTAAAAAGCTGCATTCCTTTTTTTTTTTCCTCTGAGGATCTCCGGTGATGTGTCTTCTCCACGTTTCTGCGAGTGGGGAAGAGGAGATGCTGGTATCGTGTGAAATGTGTTTGTTTACATTGTTTTCAGGGATCCACACTTTGTGAGGCGGAGGAGGTAACAGCTACACAAACACTATGTACACATAAATGTTTCCAGTGAAGAAATACTGTTACTTTCCTGCACTTATAATGAGAATATAGGTAGTCTGCACATCAAAATATCTCTTCTTTCATCGAAGGATTTGAAGCGACTCTGGATCAGATCTTGCTGTAGAGTCAGATCAGCCCRTTGTTCCCACATGGACACAGGGTTGGGGGGAGAAGGAAGTCGCCTCTTTGAGGTTGGGTCCAATTACCCTCTGCTCGCAGTGAGCTGACCCATGCATCGTGTCAACCAGTTCCACACATGCCATCGCCGTAACAAAACAACGGGGACATTCTGGGTACTTGGGACACTTCTGAGTATTTCTCTATGTGCGTGGGATCATTAAATGTGAGGCATGGTTGTATTGTTCCGAGCTTGGACTCTGGACAAAGCCTTACTATAAGAAGGGCTGGAGCTGYAAAGCTGTGGAGACTAATAGAATAAAAGGAACAATAAATACTTGTACCTGCATAGTTATGTYATTTAGCCTCTGTGCCTATACGCAGAAATGTACATTTCCCAGCCCTCGCCCCCGTCACAGCTAGTCCCTCTGTTTGTTTTAAATGTTCTTGATATTTCACACGTGTGTTCCTTCGTCTGGTGTATGTTGACAACCTGCAGACAGCGACGGGATCCCAAAGCCTCGACCTCAGCCTCGGGTCTGTCGACGTTATGCAACTGTCCTGAGAGCTCCCAKAACAACAAGTAGTCCTCACTCTGACACTTGAGGGACATAAAGACCACTCCTGTGGACACTGTCCATGTTTTTTTTTCTCTCGTACAGAATTTATATTATTTATGCCTCACACAGTAATAACAGGAGCAAAGGCCAAAACAGAATGCTTTTATTGTTTTCTCAAGCGCCCTAATAAAGTTTAGATAATTATAATTAGCAAAGATTTCTGCAAACTATAAATTCTTTGGGGATCAACACTACCAATTTGTGTTGTATCAGAACTGAGACTCAATGAAAATAAATGTCTAAGATTAGAAAATGATGCAGTTTAAAGGGGCAATATCATGTAAAATCAACTTTTTTGAGTTTTATATCATGTTATAATGTCATACTCTCATTAAAAACATGCCCAAAGC